GAGAATGAAGATTATAACTGTATATCCGGACAGAGGAACTGTCTTAATTAGATAAACTACTGGGGAAAACATCACTTCTAACCTGCAACTGGCAGTTAATATCAATGATATTAACCTAACATGTTGCAATGTTTTATTAAGGAACAAATGTGTAGTGGTCCACGGTGGTATCTAAGAGTTTGCTGCAGTGCAAAGGCAGTTATGCTTTATGTAGATCTCTGTTGTATAATCATTCCTGCTCCAGATGCTTGGTTATTTTCTTGCGTTGTAATTGGTTGGAGTGGCGTGTGTGGGTGTTTTAATAAGGTTGCCCATGGTTGCCATTTATGTGAAAATGCCTCAGATACTGTATATTCCGAACGTTCAACAGCTTGCACTCTGCAACATGCAATATCTTGATCAACGTTTATCATCGGCTGTTACTGGTAAACATCAGCCAGGTATACCAGAAAAAACCACCCAGTTAGTTTAGAGTGAATTACTCCTGGGTAGTGTTTGCACTTTAAACCTTATCTGTACTGTGGGAGTTACATAAGCCTACACATACACATACTGTGCTGTTTTTTCATAGCATTCTGCAATGCTTTTATTTCTGGCATCGCAGTATCTTTGCCATAAACATCTGAGCAGATAAACTCTGCAGTGTTGAAAAACAGAGCCAGAAGTGAAATTGAAAATAAATCCTTCTTTGACAGTGAGCACTTAGCCTCTGCAGTGTGAAAAAAGCTGAATATGCCATCGGGTGAATTGATGTGCTTTAGAAAGTAGTTAATTGATGGCTAGGAGTGGGCAGGCTGCAGGCTGCATGGCTTTGACTGCAGCCTGACTTACACTGCGTCCTCACTGCGGCCTTCCTCCTACTAAACTCATGTAATTATATCCAGCCATCTTCAAAAGAGTTTGCTCCTCAACTCAGTGTAGACGAAACAGAGACAGAGCAAGATCAGATGATATGGATATCAAATTCAGGCCCAACCTATTTTGGGCCTGAATTGTGTTTTTCAAATCTGTGAAAGTAGAATTACCATTATTGCTTGACTGTAACTTGTAAGGCTCTAAAATTTTACACAAAGACTTAAAATCCTTTAATTTTTTTTTTCTAATCAGATTCATTGAGAACAACGACATCCAGGAGCTGTCCAAGCACACCTTCAGAGGACTCAAATCTCTCACTCACCTGTAAGTGAGTTATTTGTAAACGCTTTAAAACCCGGTGGGTTTTGAGAGGTTAAAATAAGAAAACATAATCTTATTTCAAGTGTATATTATCTAAAATCTTATTTTAAGAGTAAGAATACTCATTCCATTAGGAAACTATCTCATTCACCTACCTAAATTAAGGATAAATACACTTAATTTAAGGAATTTTTACTTATTTCTAGATCGTTTTTCCAGTGTGGATCCATATTATGGAAAACTCTCATTTTGCAGATCCCTCTCAAACAACAACCTGCAGCAGCTTCCCAGAGATCTCTTCAAACATCTGGACATCCTCACAGATTTGTAAGTTTGTATTGATATCATGAAAGCTATAAATTAAACAGTCTCCATCAGTTCCTCTAAAAGATCTCACTCCACAGCTGGAGTGTTTGGATAACTGTTCAAGGTAAAGTTATTTCTAACATAGGGTGTTGCGATGATTCCTGTTTGAGATCTAAAGATATATATTTGTTATCATTTAGAGACCTGCGTGGGAACTCGTTCCGCTGCGACTGTAAGATCAAATGGCTGGTCGACTGGATGGAGAAGACCAACACTTCGGTCCCGGCCATCTATTGCGCCAGCCCCTTTGAATTTCAGGGTCGTAGAATCCGTGACCTCACACCGCGGGACTTTAACTGCATCACAGCAGGTTTTATTTGAATTATTTTCAAGTGAAGCTGTGGTATTCCAAGAAGAAGATTTAAAAACAATCCACTGGAATTTGTTTTCAAGTTTGAAGACGTTTCGCTTCCCTTCCAGGAAGCTTTTTCAATTCAAAATGTCAGGAATAGCGTTGAGTTTGAGCTTTTATGCTGTAGCCCAACAAAGCCTTGTTTTTGTTTTGAAAACATGCAAATTGGAACAGAGGAAGGGGTCCACCAATTTGGAATGAGGGTTGTTTTGCTTCTTTTGTTAGACTGCATGCCCCATACCCATCTAAGTGTCTGAAAGGTCGGTCGTTAAAGGGGATTTTTGGCCTGGTTGAATACACAAGGTCCTCCGCTCTCCTGTACAGCGGGCAGAGATGGCAAAAGTACTCACTTTCCGTACTTGAGTAAAAGTACAGATACTTGTGTTAAAATATACTCTGGTAAAAGTGGAAGTACAAATTAAACTTCTTTACTCAAGTAAAAGTAACAAAGTACAGGCTTGTAAATTTACTTAAAGTATAAAAGTAAAAGTAGAAACCACTTTTTTCATGCCGTTGCCTACATTTTAAATGGATGTCTGCCAATAGGACTAGATCTCCGTTGTGTTCATTTTCAATCATCTCGTCGTCCATGCTACTATGCTAACGCCACCAAGCTGCAATGATTTGCCGCCAATGAATACCGCCGAATCTGTTAATTCATCTTGTAGTGGTGCGTCAAATGCAACGTAGATTCCCATCCAATTAGATTGAATTTGGTATTGATGACGTGAAAAATAATAACGGTAACTCCATTGAAATGATTCAAAACTAAAGTTATGAGCAAATTTTTTAAAATGTAAGGAGTAGAAAGTACAGATATTTGTGTAAAAATGTAAGGAGTAGAAGTAAAAAGTCGCCATAAAAATAAGTAGTAAAGTAAAGTAAAAATATCAGAAAAATCTACTTGAGTACAGTAACGAAGTATTTGTACTTCGTTACTTCCCATCTGTGACAGCGGGTGGGTACAGGTACAGGGGTAAAGGGTACAGGGGGTCTTTAAATTCAATTCAATTCAGTTTATTTCTATAGCGCCAATTCACAACTCATGTGATCTCAAGGCACTTTACAGATCACCAGATCATAAAGTCAAATTGATTCAAAGTTTTCTATCTAAGGAAAACCAGTTGATTGCATTGATTCAACCAACGTGCACTTAACAACCAGTAGACATAAAGCGTATATGCGTCACCCTGCTCCCGGCTACGGAAGCCCAAACGTGCCATATCACTACACCCTCAAACTAAGCATGCTTGTAGCGAAAGTGGAGAGGAAAAACTCCCTTTTAACAGGAATAAACCTCCAGCAGAACCAGGCTCAGTGTGAGCGGCCATCTGCTGAGGCTGACTGGGGTTCAAGGAGACAGAAGCAGAGACACAAAAAGAAACTAAAACGCGGCCCTGTCCAGGAGTCACACAGCCAGCCAGCTCCCATGTCAGAGGATGAAGAGAGCACATCCAGTTAGTCACAGTCAGAGAAAGAGGACTACACTGAAAAACAGGCCGATCTCCAACATCCATAAACAAAGGTGTTGATGGCAGCAGCACAGCTGATATTTCTCTCCAGGATAGAGTCACAGCCAAAGAGGAACAGAGGACAGAGGTTGTTAAAGGGGACAAATCCCCTTTAAAGTCCAGTCGATTGTTTTTAAATTTCTTTTTTGAATGACAATGACCTGGATGACTGAGAACCTTCAACAGCATAGAAGCTGTGATGTCATTGGCGTGTAGGTGTTCTCACTCTGGTTTCTTATCCAACAGACTTCGCCGTGTATGAAACCTTCCCTTTCCACTCGGTGTCAGTGGAGTCCTACGAATTCAACGGAGATCAGTTTGTGGCCTTTGCTCAGCCAGATTCAGGATTCTGTACCCTGTATATATGGGATCATGTGGAGATGATCTTCAGAAGATTCCATAACATCACCTGTAAGTGTTATAACTGACAGTGTGCACTTTGTAAAGAATGAAAAGATAATGTCTTTGGCTTCTTTGTGTCTCTCCTGAAGCTCGCTCGGCTGTTTACTGCAAACCCGTGGTGATAAACAACACTCTATACATGGTAGTAGCTCAGCTGTTTGGTGGATCGCACATTTACAAGTAAGGACGACAGTTTAATTCCATATTTAATGGCTGCCAGTGACTTCTCTACTTCTAATTGAGCTAAGCATTTTAGTGTAGCTCTAACTGAATATTGAGGATAAATATCCTGCTGGAGGGCAAACTTCTGCTCCACTTCTCCTCTATAGGATGTGATAATGCCACTATTGTTTTTTTTTTTAGAGTTGCCAAGGGGTGCAAACACATCATTTCACAGCAACTTCAAAATCTCCTGCAAACTCAAAAAAAAAAAAAAAAAAGTGCATGCCAAAAAATTCAATAAGCTGCAAAGGAGAAGATCTGCAATCACAGAGAGCAGCAAAGTGGAAACGTGCTACAAAAACAAAACCATCTGCAAATATATTAATGCTAACACCTAAACCATAAACAGTGAAAATGCTGAAAATAACAAAAACAGCTGCAAGTTACTGCAAACCAGCACCACATAGGGATGCATTAGGAGGAGAAAACCATCACATTGGAAAAAAGTCTAAATCTTGATAAGTCTATTTCTCTTAAAATAAGTGCATTTGTTCTTGGATTGAGGAGGTAAAGAGACATTTTGCCAATGGAACAAGAAAATTTAGACTTAAAATAAGGAAACTCAATTGCATCATCTTATTTCAAATCTAAATATCTTATTTTAAGAGTAAAAGTACTCATTCCATTGGCAAACTATGTCATTTAGATACTCAGATTAAAGATAAATACACTTAATTTAAGACATTTTTTACTTATTTCCAGATCGTTTTTCCAGTGCAACTCATATGAGAACAAATCCTTAGTAATGGGATAAACTGGATGCTATATTAGAAATATTTTTAAAAAAGGATTTAAAAAAAGCAATATTTTTTTCTTTGTATTTTCTCTGGGTGGCCTCCAGTGTATACTTTTGCTTTGGGTCTGGTCCTTTATCAGTTTGTAGTAATCTCTATGTTCTGGTCCCATATTAGTTGTTGATTGTCTCCCCCTAGAGGCCTGGAGCACTTATGTGGCTCTAGTTTACAGCTTTTCATAGATTTCTTTCAGCTACATATAGCACTTTCCTTTGCAGGTGTATATTTGTGTTTATTTACTGACTTTATTTCTGAATGTGCAACAGATTTTGTGTTTGCAGCACGCTTCACTCAGCTTTTTTCTTAACTTGCAGTTGTTTTTGGTACTTGCAGCGTTTTTAGTTTGCACTTGTTTTGCCTGTTGGTCTGAATTTTGAGTTAAATTTCTAAGTTTGCCTTTTAAATCTGCTGCGGAATCATGTTTTGTTGTTAGGATGACATGGTCAGGGTGATATCTACGTAGTTACTAATTTTCTTGAATTTAAATTAGGTCTAAAACATTTATAAAGCCTGGTCTTCCATGTGAGATGTTTTGGCTTTCATTAAATACCATCATTCCTTCCACTTTCCCATTAAGGCCAGATTTAGGGAGTCTGTTTGTCCTAAGAACAGATTGTCATGCCTGAGCTGCGGCTCTCTGCAGCTCCTCCAGTTTGACCACAAGACACATTGTTGCTTCTCTAATACTCTTCATGCCAGGCCTATCGTTTTAGCTAGACGTCTTGTTAAGTTTGCAGTTATGTCATATTCTTTTCATTTTCAGATGAAGATTAGTACTCTTAGAAAAATAAGAAATAACCAATTCATAATCCTCCAAAATGCCACTAATATATGATTATAGAATATTGCTGTTGTAACTTGAAAATGATGTGAAGTTCGAATAGTATTTTTTCGTAGGTCCAGGTGTATTTGCATGGTGATTATTCCTGTTTGTCTCTGTAGTGATGTAATAGTCTATCGACCTGTCCAGGGTGGAGCCTTCCTCTGGCCCATGACTGCTGGACCCTAACCCTGTGATTAAGGGTTAAAGCAAAAGATTTAAGAAAATCAAAGAAAAAATTCATATATTTTTTTTCCTATCAGTGATGAAAGTGATTTTTCTAAAGTAAATTTATTGTTCTACCTTTATGAGTATATACTGACAGCTTGACTGTGAATACAGGTGGGAGGAGGGACCCCTGCGCTTTGTAAAGATCCAAGACATTGACACCAATCGGGTGAGGAAACCCAACTTTGTCGACACCTTCCAGCTTGATGGAGAGTGGTACTTCATTGTTGCAGACAGCTCCAAGGCGGGCTCCACCAGCATCTATCGCTGGAACAGCAACGGGTTCTACGCCCATCAGTCCCTCCATCCCTGGCACCGGGACACTCACGTGGAGTTCATAGACGTCGGTGGGAAGCCTCATCTCATCCTCTCCAGCGCCTCTCAGCCACCTGTGGTTTACCAGTGGAACCGAAGCCAGAAGCAGTTTGCCTTCCTGTCCATCATCACAGAGCTCGCGGACGTACAGATGGTGAAGCACTTTTGGGTGAGGAAAGTCCTCTACCTCTGCCTCACCCGCTTCATCGGTGACTCGAAGATCCTGCGTTGGGAGGGGCAGCGATTCGTGGAGATCCAGACTCTGCCCTCCCGGGGTTCGATGGCGGTCTATCCCTTCACGGTGGGCCTTCGCCAGTACCTCATCCTGGGAAGTGATTTCTCCTTCTCCAGGGTGTACCTGTGGGACGATCTCACCCAGCGCTTCCAGCTATTCCAGGAGCTCAACATGAGGGCCCCCAGGGGGTTCGGCCTGGTATCGGTCGACAACAAAGACATTCTGCTGGCCGCCAGCTTCAAAGGTAACACCTTGGCCTACCAGCACCTGGAGGTGGATCTCAGTGCCAAATGAACAACAGGAGAAATTTACCTTCTGATTCAAAATGTGCCAATAAGACTGCAGAAACGCTGAAGCCATGTAACTTTATCTTGTGTAAACCAACTAATTAAATGATTGTTTTTGAAATTTTGCACTAGAACTTAAAATCTAATGGAAATAATATGTTAGTCAACGTTAGAGTTGTGAAGCTGCTGAATCACTGTTCTGTTCAAAGAAATTATGGCTAGAGCATCGCTGTCGTATTTCTGATTTGTTGTGCTTAACTGATTACATTTAGATACTGAATGACAGAGAGGAGAAGTATAAATGTTTTGTACTCTATATGGTAAAATGAAAACCATTTTTGCACGACATTAAAAAGCTCACCCAGAAACACACAAAAAAGTTTGTTTTTCATCATTTTTTAAACAGAAATACATGTATGTGCTTTTGCCCTTTCAGTTCCTCCATTATTTAATCTGTTGTGGCTCAAATGATCAATTTAATGTCATTGCTTATAGCTCACAATAAAAAGAGATGCTGTTTGCTATATACATTCTTCCACAGATTTGCCTAAAATATGAATATTTAAATCAAATTTAGAAACTTGATAGCTGTTCAATATTTTAACAGCTTTGTATGTTTTGAAAGTTGCAATGCAACTGCTTTTATAGTACAGAGGAGTGAGGAGTCTCTGAGGGAGATCAATGACTACTCCAGTTGTCTCACCATCCTCTGCAAGACATTATAAAAAAATATATATATATATATATATATAATTTATAGATACAATGAAAGAGGTCACATATTTAATCAGGAATGTGAATTTGAATTGATATTGTGTAGGATTCGAAATTTATTCTGTCAAATGTTTCTCCTTTTGGTCTGTTGCCTTTTATAGGACTCGGGATCTGCATTGCATTGTGGGACGTGGCGGCCATATTGAAGGCTACGCGAATGTAAACATAGCTCTGATACAACGTTTTTGTTGAAAGAAGAGACGTAGAAGTAGAGAAAAAAAAGATGTTAAAATCCTGAAAAGGATCTGGAATTTACCGGGACACATTAAATAGAGAAGCCACGGACCGGTATGTTGACAAAATCAGCATTATTAATAATTTGGATCCATATGAAGTTCCAAACAATGAGTGGAGCACCGATGAGTGAGCGCCTATACTTCAAAACAGTTCTGAAGCCACAAGTTCTTGGAGTCTCATGTGCAGTTCATGAATGGATGGGTTCAGGTGCTGCAGATCATAAAGCCAGCAAACAGTGGGAACACAGTAATCCGTACGAAGGTAAGCTGTGCTCAGATGGGCTCTGGAACCTGCTAGTTAAGCAACTGCTAACCGCTAGTGCTAACAACCACTCACGCATGTAATGTACTTTCTGACTCTTTTTTATCTCTGACACTTGGTCTCCGTGGTTGCGCCTCCAGGCAGGAAAGCGGTGGGAAATTAACCCATTTTCTATGTTTTTTCCCATGGCGATCATGTGTTGCGCTGTTACAGCCCACAATACAGCAACGGTTTACCATGGTTGAAATCAAGTTAAGGTGAAATTAATCAAATTAAAACACGGCTAAGAGGGAGTACAGTACGCCATAGTCATAGGCAGTAGTCTGAGCAGCGGTAAAAGAGGCCTTCAAGATGGCGGCGACGCAAAGTGCTTAGGTCATGACGACCAAGCCCTATGCTGGTAATTTGTGGAGGAACAAAAAATCTAAAGTAAAACAAGTGTATTACTTTATTCCAGATGCATAGAAATGTAAGTTCAGTTAAATAAAACTGCACATCGTGTTAGCTTATTGTTAAAACAAATCTAAGTTTAAACTTTAGCAATATTTAAAACATCTTTAAAACAAGTATTATGTTGTTTAAAATTCAAGCAATCAACTTTTCAGATATACCTAATACAGTTTATTATTTTTAAGCTCTTTGCTTCCGGTTTCCAGTCATACATACAGCAGAAAACATCTCCATATTTACAGTTATATTCATGGTTGGTTCTAGACAGGGACCAACAGGGTCCAGTGCTCATGTAGAACTGGTTCTGGCTCCTGTAATGAGAAAATAGCAATAAAAAAAGATCAATGATGATAGGGGTCTGATAGCTCTTTTAGGCCCATTTCCTTTTATTCTTTACAGTTCTATTTTAATTATGATTTAAAAGTTATGATGAGAGCTTTAGTCATATTGAGATAGAATCACAGTTTTAATCTTGTAAATTATATTTTGAACTAAATTAAATTTTACTTACGTTCTAATTCTTATTTGATTAAAACTGACGATTTTCATTAAAATAGGTCATATATGTTTTGTTCCTGAATTATAAATATACATCGATTTAATATTCCAAAAATATCTCTATTTATTTGACAACTAGTTGTTGCAGATACTTATTTCCCATTGAACGGGATTTTACTTTTTTTAAAATTCTAGCTACAGAAAATTCAAAATTTCAAGCCCAAAATAAAAATTTTCTATCGGTACAACATAAATTTAAAATAAATGGAAATTTCGCCTTATTCAGTGCGGAGCCACACGTTCGCTCTTTGGCCTTTTCTTGTACACCACATTTTAAACACAGAATGTTTTTAGCACCGAATTTTAAAGACCGATTTTTTTTTTTTTTTTTTCTGGTGAAAATTCAGCCACAAGAGATTTGACTGCAAATGTGTTGACCTTTTGGTGAAGTCAAGCCAAAGCACTCGCTGCAGTCGAGCAGCTTCTAGCCAATGAAATTAGCTAATTTGGCCACTTCTTTGTAGCTGAATTCTTTAGAACTGAATTTTTTTGCAGCTCAATTTCTTGCAGCTGAATTTTTTTACAGCTGAACTTTTTACAGCTGAATTTTTTTTGCAGTTGAATTTTTTGCAGCTGAATTTTTTTTAAGCCGAATTTTTTTTGCCAGTACTTTTTTTGCAGCTGATTTTTTTTAAGGCAAATTTTTACCAGATAGAAATTCAGTTCAAGGCAGGGGTCTTCAACATTGCTGAATGTTTGCATTGATGAATGAAAGACATCTTCTGCCTGCATTTATCTGTCTACTACAGTGTGTTGAATTCATGTTAATGTGGATTTAAAGACATTTCAATTAGTGGAAAAAATTGCAGGTGGAAATATATAAAAAAAACGTCAAATCAACCAAAACTTTTAGGACCCCATGCAGTAGCTATTCGGACCCCCTAGGGGTCGCAGACCCCCTGTTGAAGACCTCCGGTGTAAAAGGAATTCACTGTGTAAAAGATTTCAGTCTTTAAAATTCGGTGTTAAAAAAAAATCTGTTTTTATAATTCGGTGTACAAAACAGGCAGATTCCAATGAGACAGTTTTTTTTTTTTTACATATCTTAATATATAAATAACTAAGTATTGGCCTTTTTTATTTATGCTTTTCTATGATTCCATTAAAACACGCTGGCCCCACCCTGCCCCCCTAGTAAATGTGAACCATTAATTGTTATAATTACTACTTATTGAAATAAAGATCTAATTTTTTAAGCATGCGCATACATGAAACAAGTATGATACCCTTGAGTAAAATAATGGATGCGCTTGTTTTGTCCTCCTTTGCGCCCGGGGGTGGGCGGAACTTTAGTGCTAATACACGCTTGTAAGTGGCGCCCAGTGAAAACCGCCGCTTCCCTGTGTGGGTGTAAAAGATAAACACTCGGAGCCATTTTTGTTTATATGTAGCTAAGCGCTAGCTCCATGTTAGCATGAGTTTACAACACAGTGGCGAAGGGAAAATGTTTTTACGGTTTACTTAAAAGATGGCGCTGTTATTTTCTTCCAGACATGAGAGAACCGAAATGTCACTTAGCAATACCTGCTGAATTTAGCTTCTATAGAGACGGTTGTTGCTGGTGTTAAATGTGGCTACCATGGTAGGGTAGTTACCGTGACAGATCGAGAGTTCAGCAGAAAACTGGTTCTAGGATCTTAAATCTTTTCAATTTGGGATTTACAAGTTTTCCATCGCTTCCAAAATGAACCTGTCACCCGAGTGGGAAGACGACGATCGGATGAACTTCATGTTCTCTGCGTTCAAAGAGAACCGAGATGTGAACACCACAGACTGGGACAGCAAGATGGACTTCTGGACAGCTGCGATCATCCAGAGCTGCAGACAGCGAGGCTCCGTCAGCATCAACCTCCAGGATCTCAACAAAACCTTCCAAAGGAAGGAGAAAATACCGCTGGGCCTCTCCACTGTAATCCAGACCATGGCCAGGTACCTGGCAGGGAGGGTTAGCTGTCAGTCAGGTTATCTCTAACTAACTGAGTTAACTGTCAGGCAGGTTATGTTTAACTGAGTTAGCTGTCAGTCAGGTTATCTGTCTAACGGAGTTAGCTGTCAGTCAGGTTATCTCTAACTAACTGAGTTAACTGTCAGGCAGGTTATCTTTAACTGAGTTAGCTGTCAGTCAGGTTATCTCTGTCTAACTGAGTTAGCTGTCAGTCAGGTTATCTCTAACTAACTGAGTTAACTGTCAGTCAGGTTATCTCTAACTGAGTTAGCTGTCAGTCAGGTTATCTCTATCTGAGTTAACTGTCACTCAGGTTATCTCTAACTGAGTTAACTGTCAGTCAGGTTATCTCTAACTGAGTTAGCTGTCAGTCAGGTTATCTCTAACTAACTGAGTTAACTGTCAGTCAGGTTATCTCCATCTGAGTTAACTGTCAGTCAGGTTATCTCCATCTGAGTTAACTGTCAGT